TGGGGAGAGAAGTGGTAAGCATAAATCGCGACTGCGAAATGAAGTAGCTTCTGCTTCGGAACAAGTTATAATCCAAGATTTTCTCTTATAAGGAAGAGACAGAAATCAATTTGTGTTTTGAGAAGTAAAAAAGAAAAGTGTTCTTTGGGAACCTTTCTCTGTCTTCATACACACAAACCAAACAAAAGCTGTTGTGTAATTCTTTTTTTTTTTTTTGTGTATAGCAATTTGTATGTATTATTATTTTTTGTTTTGTTGTTTCTTCTTGGTTTGTGTTATTATTTGTATGAACATTCTTCTCCAAAGACAGATTTTTCTCATAGAATGTTAAAGAACAGTTTTGTATTCCTTTTCTTTTCAAATTTAAAATTTATGATTATTATGTTATTAGAAAAAGAAAAGGCTTATATAGCTAAGTGAAATGAAATTTTTATCAACCTCTTTATTGGAATTAGTAAAAGAAACAGCAAGAACCAAAACAGAGCAAAACACACACAATAGAATAAGAGGAGAAAACAAAAACAGAGAAAAACAGAACATAACAAAAAAAAAACACAATTTCTCTTCACTTAATGAGTATTGGAGAACCTAGCAACCACATTTGTCTCCAATACTTGTAAGCTCTTTTCAGATGTTATACATGTAGGAGTCTTGTATTGAGTAATCGCACCACCCTTTGAGATATACAAGTCCATAAGAGAATCAAACGTACCATCATTCACTACTCTTATCTCGAGAGGCCCGACAGATCTGTATAACCGACACTCCTTGTATTCATCATCAAGTGAATCCTCCATTACCAAACAACATTCCAAGAATGTCTTTTCATCGAACTCGAGGTCCTTAATGTCTTGGTTTATAGCCTTTACTTCCCAATAAATCTCGTAGTGACCTGGACTAGTGGAGATGTCAGCATAGCTAGTGAAATCTATAAGCCTTAGATCTGATGAGTCAAGAACCATCTTTGCTCGATTCACCGCCTTAAACAAGTCTTCTTCATTTGTCAGGTCCGTTTGGATGTTTAACACCACTCCCTCTCTTCTTAGAAACCTAAACTGAGGTGCCTTGTTGTAGAATCCAGTCACCTGGAGAATATCTCCGATTTTCATTCTATACAAACCCCATAAATTTGTGACCAACAATAGGTAAGAACACCCGAGTTTGACATCGGCGAGGTCTACAATGTCATCATTGTCTCCCTCCGTTGGTATGAACTCAAAGTAAGATAGGTTAGGCATGAGAGTGTAAGAGACGTCTTCAGGTTTACATAGAGGATCAAGATTAACACCGAAGACTGTCTCGGAAGAAGTGTAAGTTGGTGAAAAAAGAGGCAAGTCATTGCAGTAATACTTCAATATGGGAACATATTTTGCCATTGAACCTGTAGCAACAGCTTCAATGCATTTGGTTTGTGGCCATAGCATTGTCATTATACCTTTCCAAGACTTTTGGCTGCAGAACTTTTGAATCTCGTCTGATAATTCAGGACGGGGCTGACCTCCAAGAATGATAGACACGGAGTTTCGACAACAAGAATCGGTGATCCGCTCGCTGAGATGACCTGATCGGATGTCCGAACACAAATCCTTCCAAGAATCTTCAAGAACCTTGATTGCTCGGACCAAACCTGAAGCAAATGTGGAACAGATTCACATGACCTCGTCTCTTTGGACAAGACCACATAGCAAATGGCAATAGAGATTAATTTTGCTTGATGTCACTTCCTAACATAACTTCATCCGGGCTCGTGTAAGAGTAATACCAATTATTTGGTCGATTCTTGAAATAGTCGCTCTTTAAGAAGTTGCTCGATGCGGTCTCAATGGGCAAGCCACCAGCAGCTGTGGTCTCGAGACAAGTTAAGAAAAACATCATCCCCTTTCCTTTCTCCACACCTTTCACATGCCTAAACATAACAAGAGCGAATAATTTTCTGTTAAACCA